TCACTCAAGGTATGCACAAAAAAGTAAAATCCACTTGACATTCCAGAATGAAAAACAATAAAGGCACAACATTATTCAAAAGAAATGTGAGTTCTTGGACTCTATAATGGCAACAAAAACAGGAGTCACAGTAATGTTTACTCGTATTTCGATAATCTCTTAGCACTGGCCTTTCCCAGGACTCCTAGACAACTGACTTTAGGTATGTTGAAACTTACAGGCATTTGACACGTAATCTTGAGGCTAAAGAGTTTTTGTTTAATCTTCCTCTAAGTGTAAAAGACCATTCAGAAGCTCTGAAGTCTAGTTGTAACATTTTTAACAACGTATCACTTCTGTTTACCAAACCCTCTTAAAACGAAATCCTGAAAGAAAGAAAAACACTCCTTTCACTGTTCCCAAGTACATTTTTTACACTTATTCTAACGTGAATTTGTGCACTGAAAAATATATGTTCACATTTTACTGCAAGTAAAGCATTTTTCTATATGTTGCAAAATAGAATCCAGGACCTCCAAGGCATTGTGTTAAACTTCTGTGCCTTATTGACATTCTTGCTTCCCATCTATTTACCTCCCAGAAATAATAGCTCATTTTAACCACAGCAATGCTTCATCTGACCAGGCCACAATGAATTTACCAACCACATAAACTCAGGAAATGGTAGAAACTCATAAACCCCCTGTGAATAGAGTTGAGTAGCTCTCTCAATCCCAGGCCTGGGGGAAAAAAATTTACCAGTTTAGCTATGTTGGCCATAAAATTGTAAACTGACTGGCAGTCACAACTAAATCAAGACATATTCTCAATTATCTTTTCTTTCAAATACCAGGTTATTAAAATGCTCCTCTCTCCCTCCCTCCCCCCGCCTGCTTACTTGGATTACCTGAGCAGCACAGAGCTTCAGCAATTAAAGAAACTTTTCCTTTTTGCCATAGTATTATTTCTCTTTGCTTAGCAGCCTTCATATAGTGGTGCCCTTATGCAAAGACTAGAATACTGCTTTCTAACTGTTCTCTAAATTACATCCTAAAATAAAGTACATGTTTATTGTGCAAAAGCACCATGCATTATCTGTCCTCTAGCTATAGGCCTCTATCATTTCTGGCTTAGCTAAGGAAAAAAAAATCCTTTTAACTTACTATCAAAGATCATTCAAATCACAGCCAATAGATCCAAATTAAGAATGAATACATTCAGAATGTCTGCCTACTGTCAGTACCAGTTTTTGTTATGATGGCTGTCAAGTTTAAAAATGTGACAATGGGAATATATTTTCCGAATAAATTATTCCTCTGAGTAAATCCTTTAAAAATCCAACCATTGCCATGGGCAATTTAGGTTCCAAAGGATGAACGCTCTTCACACTTGAAAGGGTTAAGTGCCTGCATGGCCAAAGGCACCAGACTGCAAAAGAAATGTTGCTTTAGTAAGCTCTGAAAGGTTTCTAACAAGTACCAAATACTTGTTGATCTGTTCACAATAAACACCAGCAGGATTGTCAGGCTCCTTTCACTGTCTGGGGAGATGCATTTACATACTGCACCTTGGAATAACAGCTTGTTGGTCTCCTTTATAAAAGTTGAGTAGCTAGAAGCCTCCTTCAGTGTCTCCCATCCAAATGACTGAAAGAAGATGCAATTGAAATAGTGGAGTCTTTCGTCTAGCTTGGGCAGCATAAATGCTGTGCATAAAACACTTGGAGTAGTTCAGGCACAAGACAAACCCACCTGAATGGACCAGGAACACTGTCTGTTGCCATGGCAGCCTGATCTAATTACATGAGTGATCAGGGCTGGAGTAAGTGCACCGAAAACCAAACCACTGACAGCCAGCCAGGAGGTTCAAGGGAGCCCTTCAACCTCTGCTTTATGTAGAAGATGGCATTCAAGTCCATTTATTTGCGGAGCTGCTAAAATATTGACTGATGCATGCACAGTGAGAGGGCAATCAGAGGAGATTAAATGCCACAGCATTAGCCGTTATGGTGCAAACCCTTTCCAAGAGTTCCTGTGCAGGATTTTCTCTTCTCTCTGGTGGTTTCCTCAGGCATAAGCTTCATTCCAAAAAAAAAAAAAAAAAAAAAAAAAAAAGCCCAAGTATCAAACTACCTTTACCCACCAAATAAACCGAACGGTGGGCTTAACGGGGGCTTCTAGGAACTGCAGCCTCCTAAAAAACCCAAGCAGAAATGCCTTAGCTAACACTGTTGAAAAAGTAGCTATGCCTAAAAATAACCACCAAGTAACTACCCACTGCTGTGTGCAATATATAACGATGATGTTTAAATATTAAAAGCAGCCTGCATTATAAAACACAAATGTCATTGAGATGTGCACTACTAGATTGCCAAAGGAGAACTTATTTGCATACACACATTCCTGTGCATGCACGAATGTGCAGGCAGAAAGCCACTGTAAGGCATTAGTTTTTATTCTGTGGGTGTAATAGGGTCTTCTAATTTTGCTAATTGTATCCTGTGGATCTCACAGGGAAGCTCAGAATCTCTTCGGGGACAGAACCAGTTTGGAGGAGTCCCTACTGCACAGCATACGGTAAACAAAATAAAAATAGCTTGCCTTTCTTGTTAGCCACATCGCGCATTATATAACCAGCTTCTTCCGACCGGTTTTTTTTTTTCTTTTTTTTTTTTTTTTCCCTTTTTTTGTTTTTTTTTTTTTTTGCCCTTACTACTCTTCAGCAATTTCCCAATCTTCTCAAGTATTTACATTACCTTTTTATCTGTAGGATTATATACCAAGAAAGCAAAACAAAACAGACCAGCCACCGGCTCGAACCGAACCCCCGCCGTCCTTAGAAACTGATTTTTTTGTTTTGTTTTGTTTTCTGGCTGAGTCTCGATCACCACCCTACTTCCACCCCCCGCTAAGGTTCTTGCTCAATCTCCCTAGAAAACCTGAATTGTTTCATCGCTTCCAGTCAGCCCCCTACGTGGTCTGAAATAAAATGAAAGCACAAGCCGCGGAGTTTAAGAAGGCAGCCTGAAGGCGGGGGGCTGAGGAGGGGTCGGGGCGCTGCAGAGTCAGCCAAGTGGCCGAGGAGGGGCCCCCTCCGCATCGCGACGGCCCTCGCCCCCCGCCCGGCGCGCACGCACACACACATATACACACTCACACTCACTCACACACACTCACTCACACGCCGCGCTCCGACACCGCCTCACCTCTCGCTCCGCCCGTCCGGCCCCCTTCCCTGCCCCCTGCGGGACCGGCCTGCGCGCAGCGCTGGAACCACGTAGGAGGCGGCGGCGGCGGCAGCCCCGGCCCCGGGAGTGGCAGAGTCTCTGGCCCGGCCCAGAGTGAACGAGCAGCGGGGCTCCAGGGCGCATCCCAATCCCCGCAGCGCCTCCTCCGCCTCCGCCGCCGCCGCCGCCGCCGCCTCCTCCTCCTCCTTCCCCTCCTCCTGGCTTCATTCACCCTCCCAGCAGCCGCGCAGCCGTTCACTCCCGGCTCCGGGCAGCGCCTGCCGCGGCTCCTCGGCTCCTGCCGCGGGTGCTGGAGGGGGCGCCGGCCCGGACTGGGGCGCTCGCGGGCTCCCGGCTCCGGGCGGCGGCGGCCGCTGCACATGATCAGGAAGCGGCCGCACCAACAGGGCGGCGGTGGCGGCGGCAGCCAGGGCCGCCACCGCCACTCCAGCCGCGCTCCAGGCACCCGCACACCCGCTACCCCGGCGCGGTCCCCAAGGCCACCCCTCCGCGCCCCCCGCCTGGCACCCGGCCGCGCGCAAAGTCCCGGCCCCTTGGCTGGAGCAGTCCCTTCCCAGCCCACAGCCGTACACCCAGCGAGGCCGGCCACCGAGGGGAGTCTCTCGCCCCGGGACGCGGAGGCCGGGCGACCACCGGCGGGGAAGTGCAGTCCTCCCCGAGACCCCCCCCTCCACCGCCCTCTCCCGGGAGGAGGAATGGGAAGAGTGCGGCCGGGAAAGGGACCAGCCCCCAACCCCGGCCGCCGCCGCCTCCCCCTGCGCCACCCGGAGGGAGGAGGACATGGCTCTCCGCACTCGCAACCGGACCAACAGCCCCCAGAGCGGGGCGCTGCCGCCGCTCTCCCTGCTCGCGCCCCCCGCCCGGGCGCGCCCCCTAGCCCGCCTGGAGCCCACCGGGCCCCTGACAGCCCCCCCGGCCGGCCGCCCCTGCGCCCAAAGTGGGGGTGTCGGCCCGGGAGCCTGGAGCCGGGGACGGTTGTATGTACACACACACACACGCACACACACACAACACGACGCGTCGATTCCCTTCGCTCCTCTTCCAGCTGTTTTCCGTGCAGCCGATTGGGGTTTGGGGTTTGTTTGCTGGTTGTTGCTTTTGCCCCTCTCGGGAGATAGCGAGAGGAGGGATTTTAATCTAAATAAGGGGAGAAGGGGATGGGGGAGGGGGGAAAGAATCAGAGGAGGAAAAAAAATAGCCACTTACTGTAAAGTGTAAATGGATCTGGGGTTGCGTGGGGAAGGGGGGCAGAGGGAGAGAAACAATGTCTGGCGGCTGCTCTTGCTCTGGCTGCTGCTCCCCGGGGCTTGTTTTGGATCCCCCTGCAGTGAAACAGGTCCTGTACGGCTCCGCCACTGTAGTAGAAATGATGTCTGCGGTATACTCTGCTCTCTCCTCCTCCTCCTCCTCCTCCTCCCCCTCCTCCCGCTTCCCTCCCCTCCCTCCTCCCTCCGCCCTCCCTCCCTCGCGCTCTCTCGCGCTCGCTCGCTCGCTCGCTCGCTCCAGTATGTAAATGTGTAATAGAAGCCAAATATGGAGCAGTTGGCTGCCGCCGCCGCAGCTCAAGGATCCGACTTCATGGGGGTGGGGGGCACCCTCTGGCGGGCGGCCCGGCGAGCAGCACCGAGCCCTGAGCGCACCGCGCGGCGGCCGGCCCGCGCCCTTAACCCTTCGCGGCGCGCGGCCCGGGGAGGCGGGCACCTTTCCCCAAGAGTGGCTCGGGACGGGGCGCGGGGGAGGGGAGGCGCGGGCCGGAGGGCAAGGTTCCTTCCAGGTTTGGGAAGGGGGCGGGGAGCTGCGCGATGAGGTAATTGGAACGGTGACCGGTCGGTCCTCGAGCGCCTCCCTGGGTCCCTGCACCTAGTTGGAGGGGACCGAGCGACCGCGGGGCGCTGCTCAGGCAACCTGGGGGACTCCCCCAAGGGTGTCAGGCTTCAGCTGGCAGCCAATGAAACACCCCAGGGGGGAGGGGAGGTCGGCCGCTTCTAATCCCGACGTGCCCTGGGTCCCCGACGCCCCGAGCCGCGTCTAAAAGGGCTCCCTCCGATGATCAGCTGCACGTCATTTAACCCGCAAACCGGCGTCGCTGAGGCGTTCCGGAACCCAGGCCCGGGGGCTGCGGGGATTGCCTCTGCGTGCAACTCCGCAAAGTTTCCCGGTGCCCCCCGACTGCACAGGCGCCCTCACCTTCGCCGCCTGAGAACGCCCGGCCGTGCCCTCTCTCTCTCCGCAGGTCCGGAAATCGGCTTCGATCTGGAGCTACTTACTCCGCTCTAGCCTGGAAAGGAGACCCGCGCACTCCTCTCGCAGCTAATTTGGGATCATTAATTTAATCGGAAATGAGGTAACCGGTGTAGGAGACAGAGAAAGCCACCGGAGCATCAAATGGCAGCTCTCGAGAATCGATGAAGAACTTGGGTCCGGACTCGGTGTTTCAGTGCGGTCCGCGACTCCCACCACCCCGCCCGCCCCTCCGCCTGTCCCGCCGCCAGGTGTGACCTCCACGTGAAGGAATCTTCTTCAGCTGGGCTAACATTGCCAACAGGTGTGGCACCTGGAGGACTGGGAGGCGCCTCCAGACTACCGGCGCTCAGCGCGGCGTTTTTGTTGCAGATGATTCTGGAAGGCCAGTAGGTGTCGGGCAACACTTGACCTCCTTCAGGTGCTTAGAACTAGGTGGCTGGAAACATGAGCCCTTCGCGTAAGTTTCTTTCTGAAAACCACCGCTCTTGACTGTAAGCTGTATTTGAGAGACCTTTTGGCTGAGTTTACTTATGACCTAACGGTTAGTCACCAACTGAGGCAGGGCAGAGAATGATCAAAACATGTGTCAGGTTTTACACAACTCTGGCCTGCAAGAGCCTACGTGCTCTTGAAATAAAAATAAACATACGAGTGAGGAAAGTGCAGAGCCCCGGAAATATTTTTTCTCACATTTTTGAAATGCCGTGCACATGTAAGTGGCTATTTAAATGTAACTACTACTGTTCACTCTTACTCATTTCTACAACCCCCCCCCCCCCCCCATTTAAAAATCGATGATTGTTAAGGTTGAAACCTCGGGTTGGTCTAAAGTGACATTGTTGGTCTCATTACAGCCTCTAGCGGACAGTTAACATCAGTTTCCTGAAAAGGCTCTCATAGGTTTTGTTTTCGTTCACAAGCTTTGTCAAAGTGAAGGTTAGCACGTCAGAGCATAACCGGGTAAAATATCCCCCACCCCTATTCTCACCCCCGCCCCCAACCCCCTACTTGGCAAAGTCGACTTCAGAAAGGAGCAGAACCTTGTTGGCTTTGTATAGCAAAGACGCATGCTTTGTGTTGCAGGTATCATTATTACTGGACTGTGAATAAACAGAAAGCTTCTGCTATTCATTTCAGTTTCAGACAGCTTTCATAAAAACTAAATTCATCTCAAATATTTTTATAACAGAAAATATTGGTTGCCATGTTTTTGGCTTAACTGCGATGTTTTTATTCCAACTCATAATCTGCAAACTGTCCAATCCACCTCCACTCTATTTTTAGACATCTTACATTTAGATAATTTTCAGTTAAAAAGCTAATATCGTAATTATTACGTTGGTGCAACCAGTTAATCTACATGATTTTAACAACCTTAAAACACATAATTCAGGTTAGAGTGTCAATTAATTTAAATGTTCTCTCAAGGAAGCTAAATATGTATATTACTGAAATGGTAAAAACAATAAGAAACGTGTCATTTACTTTCTTAGCCATTGAGATTAAAGCCATAAGCTGCCACCAAAAGTTGCCACTATTTCTTCCTGCAAGATCCAGCGTAAACACCATACTCATGAAACAGTCTCCTTACCTTTAGTACTGAAATATTTTGTTTTCAGATGGCAAAATATTAAATGTACAATCACAAGACACTGATTCTTTAGAAACAAGACTTTCTCATGCAAATAAAAACTCAATGAGAAAGGGCAGAGCTTTCAAGAAGCTAGCAGGCAAACATATATAGTACTGTAGTCCCAGTCATAAGCTGATGTTATGTTTGTGCAAGCGTAAGTCAACTTTTGAAATTACAGGAAATAGATAAATAAGGCCCGATGAGCTTGACTCATAACCTGTGTTGCAGATTGCTTAAATACCATGAAAAATAATTGTAATCACAGAGCTATTTTACCGTTTTGGTGGTATCTACTCTTGAAGATTTTAAATGGACCAGCAAATATATCATATAATTACATATTACACCCTTACTTCTTAAAGTGTAGTCTTTAAACTAGCCGCAGCAGCACTAAGGAGCTTTTTAAACGTTCAGAGTCAAGGGTTCTACCCCAGACATACTAAATCAGAAACTTTCTTGAACCAGGCCCCTGGGTGATTCCTAAACACATTATCAGGTGAAGAACAGTGGTCTATATCACAGGGATCAAGCTAAATAAATTGGGGCACAGGTGCAGAAGCTAATTCCTCTCTTTCTTGCCTGCTCCTTTTTATTAATTACAGCCTTTTATTAATTTGTGCATTGCAATGAAGAATTATTACATTATATGCTTTGGATAAATACTACTGCATTTTAAGAGCACACATCTGCATCATTATTGCCGAAAGAGAATGCTCTGCTGAGGAATGTACTGGGGTCTTAAACATGAACATTTTCTTCATGGCAGCAGAGGGAGCACAAGAGTGCTTAATAAAACCAGTGCACAGGTTTCTCCACACCACAACAGATTTTAAATTGTAGTATATGTTTTCATTGGAAGTAGCCTGTTACGTAGTTCAAAATGAAGCAAAACAACGGAACAAACACAAACAGCTTCCCAGGTCATAACAACTACGTAATTGAATAGACTGGAAGTTGAAGAAAATAAACTTCTTTAGGGTTTTAGGCTTGAATTGTTAAAAGAAATTCGATCTCAAAAGTGAAAAAGATGCCTCACCTTTGCTCTACTCAAAAACAAAGATAACACAATACAGAATCAGGCAACCCTGGCAGAGTCGGTTCACGGGACCCTACATCAGGTAAGTTCATTTCATTTGGTATCATACATGTTGGTTAAGGTCCATGGGCCTTTCCCTGTGTTTACATTCACAATAATTTTAGGTGCTTGTCCTTAATGCCTGCAGTGGTGAAGTTTTAGCTTTCAGTTATACCTACGCAGCATTTCATACTCTTCACTGCTCATCTTGCACCCTCAAAAACTCCCTTGAAGCAGATAAGATACGTGATAAAACCCAAGTATCAAAAAAGTTATGGAACCAGGTCGTGCTTTCATAATATTGAGTCATTTGTTTCAATAATGCTTTGAGGTGTTGGTAAATGAGGGCAATTATACAGACTAAAGATACAGAACATTTTTATGGTTTTACAGGTTTTTCAAAGTTATTCTTAGTTAATATGTTTATATATGTATTATTTACGAGCAGTTATTTATTCTGCATCTACAATAACTGGACCTGAGAATATAAAATTGAGTAAGACATCTTAGTGTGCTAGGAGTTCAGAGTAGAACAAACTTTACCTTTGGAAAATTGTTAGTTTTTACCATGATGAAATGCAAAGATTCATAGTTGATTGTTCCAGTCCCTGCCAGAATTGATCAGACTTCCAAATATGAGAATCAAACACTAGAATCATTAAAAATTTGGGAGGTAGGGGGGAACAATTGTATAACTCTTGAGCAAAAGTTGACTTAGAAGCTAATATTAACATTTCAAATTTGTATGACAAATAAATGTGAAGATATAATGTGTATTTTATTTGACTGTCTTCCCTATCACAAAATCACATGAGTAAGTTGAGTTGGTAAACATTTATTTATTTTTATCTTTTTTAAAATGCTAAAAAGAATTTCTCTCCCACACTAAGGAGGGTTTGCCAAGTTTCTGCCTGGAGCAATTTGTTATGGCTGTGTAATAAATCCCGGAAAGTTTGAATTTTTAATGGAAACACTGACAGAATAAAGAGGGTGTAATCCTACATATGTCATTTAAAAATCTGAGCAAACCGTAGTGTGCTTGCAAAACAAATATACTTTCCTTAGATTGCACTCACAAATGAGGCTGGGGACACGAGAAACGTAAAACAAACTCAAAAGCGAAAAACACTCACACAATAGACTCTGAAGTAAGCTCACCACACCCAGACTAAAGTCACTGGGCTCTGTGCGTGGCACCGAGACTCTTAAAGGACATGCTTCTGAATCATCTCTCTTGACCCTCTACCAAACTGTAGCCAGACAGGCTTCCTGGTAATGAAAATAGGATTACCATTAGGCAAGAGTGAAATTAAAGTCATTGTACTCAACCATTGGCCAACAGCCTATGATTTCACAGTACCCATCTTTGAAATACAACTCTATAATTAAAAAAAGCTACCTTAAGTCTGCACTATCCGTTATGTTTATTGAGCACTTGAAATATGTGATTAGTCTAAATTAAGATGTGCTGTGTGAAATATTCCTCAGATTTTAAAAATTTGGTTTAAAAAATATATATTTTATATATAATATATATGTATTATATATCATTCATTATATTAATTATATATGTTATATATATGCAATACTCAATTTTTATATTGATTAAATGTTGAAATAAAAATATTGGGTTTTTTTTAATAGCATATATTGGGTTGAACAAAATATTAAACTTCATTTTACCTGTTTCTTTACTTTTTTTTTTTTTTTTTTGAGACAGGGTCTAAGTCTGTCACCCAGGCTGGAGTGCAGTAAAGCAGTGCAGTCTCTGCTCACTGCAACCTCCACCTCCTGGGCTCAAGTGATCCTCCCACCTCAGCCTCCGGAGTAGCTGGGACTACAGGCATGGGCCACTATGCCCAGCTAATTTTTGTGTCTTTTGCAGAGATGGAGTTTTGCCATGTTGCCCAGGCTGCTATTGAACTCCTCGGCCTTGGCCTCCCAAAATGCTGAGATTACACCACACCCAGCCTCTTTTTACTTTTCTTAATGTGGCTACTATAAAGTTTAATATCACGTGTGGAAGCGTTGTGCATTTCATTTCTAATGAACAACACTGGTACAGATACTGGGGCTGAGGAGGCACAGGAATTGGTTCTAAGTACCCACAGTTTGAGACCTTAGACTCCCAGCATGGCGCTCTGCAGTGATGTAGTAAAATAACTTGCTTTTCTACCTTCCTCGTGTTTCCCCCTTGCACTGTGTAGCACAGACCTTATCGTGGTTTGTAATAATGATCACTGAGGGTAGACTGTCGGTGAATGCGTGATCTCACTGGTAGATCTGCTACAGGCCTGCAAAACAAAAATTTATTAGGTTTATCTGTGACTCAGTCTTCTCAGGGGAGCTCTAGTTCCTTGTCACCCTGGGAGGCTAATGGGAAACCTATGCTCTGTTTTCAAAAGCACGAGCACAAGCATCTAAAGTTACAGCTGGTTTTGCTGCTTGTGGCTAAATGGTTTGGGGCTGATACCTTCTAGTGACAGATGGCTCTGGACATTGATAATGAAAATTATATAATTTGTTGCTTAACTAAAAAAAAACACATCAAGGCCACTAAAAGGAAATGGTTTTTTTTTTTTTAACTTCCTAATATATTTAGTACCATGTGATGCTCTGAAAAGAAGTAAGATGATTTTTCACCATCATTATTTATTTTGCAAGCAAGACCTAGATAAGTTTTCATCAATGCAGTGCTGACCAAGATTGAATGTAAGGCAAGGGCCTATTAAGTCTCATAAATGATGGTCTTAGTCATCTAAAGAACATAGCTCTTTTTACATGGAAAAAAAACAGACAATATTTTAAGGCCTAGAATGAATGAGTTGAACTTTGTTTGGTATTGGCCAGGAGCATTTGGAAATCTATTAAAAGCCTTTCATTAACAACTTGGCATTTTGTTTCCTCAAAAGAAATACATTTTCCAAATTAAAATCAAAGCCAGAAGCCACCATTGTTTGAACTGAAGGTAGTGGCAGCTGATGGGTTTTACATGTTAAGCTGAAGGGTGTCTTTGAAATAAGATCATGGGCAACAACAGGCTGCAAAAATAAACATCAAATTTTGATGGAAGGAGTGAGCAAAGTTCTTTGTTCTAACTTCATGACATTAAAATACGTGGCTATAAGCTGTCTTAGTTACTTTATTTTTCTTGAGTCAATATTGGCCAAAAGAAGCTGATCCGAATGAGGGTCAGAGTTTAAGAAAATTATTTTATGAGGAATTTACCAAGTTTACCCCCAAAGAGGGAGAGTTGTAGAAAAATGCACTGGCAAACTTTGCTTTTTGACACAGATAACTAGAGTTCACCAAGGAGACGGCCTGTGTCAGGATTTCAGTGATGGTTGTCAGGCAGTTTGATATTTGCAGAACCGTCTCTGTCAGGCCTCTCCAAAGTTTAACTGCTGGGAGACCTGGGAAGCTCTCAAGACTGGTGACTGAAGATACTGATTTGCTTTGTGTCTGAGCCACAGACATAAAACGATGGCTACTGCCACAGATGCTTTCTGGCACAGCAGAATAATAGCACTCAGACTTAAACTGTGAATTACAAACAATCCCTTTTTAAGTACAAAATGAATGCACAGAATGGAAGACCCTGTCAGCTAGAATACGAGTAAATCAAGCAGAAGAAGACAGATTTTTCACTCATACCACTACAGCCAAATTTTTATTCTGCTAACTGCACTATCATGAGAGAACGTTTCTTCTTTGTCAGATATTAACAATTGTGCCTAGAGTTCCGATAGTGGAACAATTGTGCCTAGTGTTCCATTATCGGAACGCTAAGCATGTGGTTGTCATTTATATCCTACTGCTCAAGGTCATCGCCAAGGTCTGATTGCAAAAATTCAAAAAATTGCAACCTCAGGCATAAACGGGTTAAGAAAATTGATACATCGTAATTATTACAAATATATGAGGCACTGGATGTGTTTCCTCTGAAAGCCAATCAAATCACAGGATCTGCTTCCTAATTTCCCACACCTATTCCAGTTTAAAAGTTTAAAAGTTATAGCTTCAATACCAGGAGTAAGAACACGTGACCCCTTCACTCCCAGGGCTAGCTTTTCCGGCTGTCAATTTCATAATTATATTGCTCCGCCCCTTGGCTTAGCACTTCCTTTTCCCTCACTACCTTCTCTCCCCAACCCCCAGCAATGAATCATCATGACTTTAAAGAGACTTAGATGACCCAGTGTGAACTTTGCTGGCATCCTGTACATTCTTATGCCAAAAAAGGGGAGTTGCTCTATGACAGAAACTAGCCAGACCCTGATGGAGATCTTGGAGGCAACAAGCTTGGGTGCTTATCTGGGAAGATCAGTGAGGAGTTAATTTTCCTAGATCACGATGGTGATTCAGAATTGCATATCTTAGTTCATGATCTGGTTTTTAAGAACCCAGTTCGACCCTTTGTGCAGAAAGGAATATATCAGAGTGAAAAATGTTGGCAGATCTCCTTATGCAATCAGGGCAAAGGAATTTATACCAAATTCAGCCCTTTGATTCCTCCAGCTCTGGCTGAGGGTGGGGTTTCCATATTTGTGCTTTGGCAAATGTGTCCAATAATTAACTCCTCTTGATATATGCCCCTAGTGTTCTTCCAGGTTATCATGTGCTTATTTGTGCATTTATTAAAGCCAGAAACATTTTTGCCCCTTCATTTTTTAAATACTGTGTCTGAGTAGTACTGCTTAAATAGACAAGAGCCTTGCCTTTAAAGACTGTACTCCCTACCTAAAGAGTTACAGGGGGTATCATTAAATAACATTATGTGTGTGCATATACTTTCTATATAGAAAGCCCTTTCTTCTCCTCCCTCCTTTTTTTTTTTTTTTGCATGGAGATTTTATCTTCATGCTTTTGAGATCCGGCTCAAGCATCAACACTTCTGTGAAGTCTTTCTTGATTAACACAGGAGTCTGCGGCTCTGCCCAATGTGTGAGTCAGAGAAGTGCTATTTTCTTATTCTTTTTATTTATACAATATTTTTTTAAACCTCTAACCGAAAAAAACAGGGCCATAAGCACAGATGGAGAGAGTATCCAAAGTGGAAGCTTCTCTTATTTGAATACTTCCTGCTACTCCCAAACCCATTTGACCTCCCTCACAGTTTCAGCGAGCAACTGCGCTTCCTTTGTTTATTGCTCCAATTATGTGAGTCCCCTCCACTGATCAGCTCTTCATGCAGCTTTCCACTGCCCTCTGTTATGAGTTGAATTGTGGCCCCCAAAATATATATCGAAGTCCTAACCCCAGTAACTATGAGTGTGGTCTTATTTGGAAGTAGGATTTTTGCAGATTTAATTAGTTAGGATGAGGTTTTACTGTTTTAGGGTGGACCCTAAATCCAATACAACTGTTGTCCTCATAAGGAGAGAAGTCACAGAAACAGAGGGGATACGGGGTAGATGACCACGTGAAGACAAGGCAGAGATTGGAGATGGGCTGACACAAGCCGGGGAACGCCAGGGATTGCTAGCAACCACCAGAAGGTAGAAGAGGCAAGGGAGGCTCCTCTCCTAGAGCCTTTAGAGAAAGGATGGCCCTATCGACACCTTGATTTCAGACTTCTTACTATTTGTTTCTTATTTTTTTGAGACAGGGTTTCACTCTTGTTGCCCAGGCTGGAGCGCAATGATGCGGTCTTGGCTCACCGCAACCTCCACCTTCCAGGTTCAAGCGATTCTCCTGCCTCAGCCTCCTGAGTCGCTGGGATTTCAGGCACGCACCACCATGCCCAGCTAATTTTGTATTTTTTGTAGAGACAGGGGTTTCTCCATGTTGGTCAGGCTGGTCTCGAAATCCCGACCTCAGGTGATCTGCCCACCTTGGCCTCCCAAAGTGCTGGAATTAACAGGCGTGAGTCACTGCGCCTGGCCAATTTCAGTCTTCTAACTTCCAGAACTGGGAGAGGATAGATACTTGCTGTTTTAAGCCACCCAGTTTGTGGTACTTGGTTACAGCAGCCCTAGGAGATGAATGCACCCTCCTGGTGATATCCATGTGCCCTTTCTGCGTCAGATACTCCTAGGTAATCTGTTCTGGATGTACTATTGGTCTTGCACCTATGACAATCCCAGTAAACAAAAGAAAAGGTCTAATGGAATAGAAAAATTTATAGAGTTCTAGAACCACCTCCCCATCATCCTGGAAAAACATCCGGCTTCCAGCCCCAGGCCTCAGAGAGCACAAGTACATGACACTCCTGCACAGGGCCTCAGCTGGTGTCCACATCCTCCTCCGCCCTCCTTAGCTCCCTCTGCTGGGAGCCTGATGCACCAGCAGCTTCCTTCTGCAGAAGTGGTCTTCCAGCGTGTGGGGTTGGGGTGAAGAAGAGACCGAAAAAACTAAATGAATTTGACATTGAGGAAACACAATGCTAACTGTTTGGCTTTCTTTTACTGTCTATTTATTATTTAAATAATTTTTTTGAGACGAAGTCTCACTCTGTCTCCAGGCTGGAGTGCAGTGGCACGATCTCAGCTTACTGCAACCTCTGCCTCCCAGGTTCAAGCGATTCTCCTACCTCAGCCTCCCTAGTAGCTGGGACTACAGGCCCCCACCACCAGACCCACCTAGTTTTGTATTTTTAGTAGAGGCGAGGTTTCACCATGTTGACCAGGATGGTTTCTATCTCTTGACCTCGTGATCTACCCACCTGGACCTCCCAAGTGCTGGGATTACAGGCATGAGTCACCGCGCCCAGCCTTTACCATCTATTTGAGTGTTATCAAAGTGCTTATGAAGACCTCGGTCTTTCTGATTCTCCTTTTTCAAAAAGCAACGAGAAATTCATTTGTTTCAAGAAGTTTCCCTCAGTGGGTGGAAGGGGAGGGCTCACACTCAAACCAGAATACCAAGGAAGTCCTCTTGAGATGGAGAACGCAGTTCTTATATGCAAATCTCAGAAAATGGCAACTCCATTTTTCCACCTGTTCAAGCCCAGAACCATTGGCAGGATCTTGACTCTGTTGTTCACACCCCACATCCAATTTGCCAAAAATCCAATTAGATCTACCTTCAAAACATATCCAGAATCTGACCATTTTTCAGCTCTGGGACTGCTACCACTGGCATTAAACCACCATGGTCCTTCATCAGGGTTACTGCGGCAGCCTCCGAAGTTGGCCCTTGCTTCCCCAGTTACCAGCCCACACCACACTTTACTCTCGGCATTGGTTGATGCCACAGCTCTGCTCAGCGGTGCCCAAGGGCTACCCCATAGTCAAGTAAAAGCCTCTCATGGCCGACAGGGCTGCCCTTGATCAGGTCCTCAGCTCTTCTGATCTCATCCCTCACTGTGCCTGCTCCCACATCACCAGCCTCACTATCCTCTTTGTTGGTCCTCAGACAAGCCAGCTGTTCTCTTGCCTCAGGGTCTTTGTATTTGCTGTTCCCTCAGCTTGGAATGCTTTTCCCTCTGGTGTTCACATGACTCACTTCTTCACCTTGTTCACGTTCTTTTTTTTTCTTTTCTTTCCTTTTTTTGTTTTAAGACACAGTCTTGCTTTGTCACCATGCTAGAGTGCAATGGCGTGATCTTGGCTCACTGCACCCTCTGCCTCCCAGGCTGTGATTCTCCTGTCTCAGCCTCCCGAGTACCTGGGACTACAGGCCTGTGCCACCATGCCCAGCTAACTTTTGTATTTTTGATAGAGACAGGGTTTCACCATGTTGGCCATGATGGTCTTGATCTAGTTTTTGTTTGTTTGTTTGTTTTGAGGTGGAGTCTGGCTCTGTCACCAGGTGCCAGGCTGGAGTGCAGTGGCACGATTCGACTCACTGCAACTTCTGCCTCCCGGGTTCAAGCAATTCTCCTGCTTCAGCCTCCTGAGTAGCTGGGACTATAAGCACACACCACCACACCCAGCTAATTTTTGTATTTTTTAGTAACGACAGGGTTTCACTGTGTTGGCCAGGATGGTCTCCATCTCTTGACCTTGTGATCTGCCCGCCTCTGCCTCCCAAAGTGCTAGGATTACAGGTGCGAGCCACTGCGCCCAGCCCCACTTCTTTTTTTCTAAGAATTAACCTCCTAATGAAGCCTGCTGTGAGCACCCTACTGAAAACTCTACTCCCTGACTTTCCTGGTCCACCCTGCCCTGCTCATTTATCCCATACACGTATCATCTTATAACACTCTATGTCATCTACTTTTTTTGTTTGTTTTTTGTCAGGAGGGCAGATTTTTTTTTTTATTGTCTCATTCATCTAGAATAGTTCTTAGCATATGATAGACACCCACTAAATAGGCATTGACTATTAAATGAAGTACTCAATAATATTTTCCAGAACCTACTACGTGCAAAGTTCTATCAGCCTCAACACAATGATTATCTCATTAGGAGCTAATCCAAAACTAATCCATCTTGTCCACGCTATGGTATGATACATGTTCTCTTTACTTGACCTTTGCCTTAGTGTCTGCCGTGACTGTTAAGGCTGAATTGGAATGAGCTGAGTCTCACATTCAGGCTTGGCGGATGTCATTTCATTTCATCCCCAAGGGGATACTGTGAGATAGAGATCATGATTCTCACTTACTGGGTGATGAAACTGAGGCGTGGAGTTTAAAGGACCTCACCAAAGTTCAGGGTCATCCAGCACTGGTTTCAAAGTGAAGTTATCCACCTATGCAGCCTGAGAATTGTTAGCAAGTCATTACCCGGAGTCATAACACTGCATTGCAATCTTTTGGCTAAGAGACCATTTTTAATACCAATCTCTAGTTTTTGGATTATACATGAATTAGGAATAACACCTATATCACAGAAGTTAAAGCTAGTGACGCTTATTGAGAACTGAGTATTTCTCCATAAGTGAATTGGCTTCAGATCAACCTGAGTGGTTTCCCAACTAACAAAATTACATTCCAGCTTATAATTTTTACTCATGCTAGTATGTGGGCTGGAAGTGACTCTCACTTGAAGTTCATGCTTGAATTCCTAGAACACTTTCCTATTAAAATCCTGTCGAAAGCATCCCATTACGGCAAGGACAAAGGAGATTGTAAAAGGCCAACATGAATTCTCAGGCCTTATTTAATGACTTAATTTCCTTCAGTTACTCTGGGATCCCACAAGCTTCCCAGAATCCTCTTTGACCACAATCAAAGCATAGTGTCTGAAAGTAGCCTGGCCACACAAAATGTGCAAAACACTATAACCTCTCCACAGCCTCCCTCCACTTCGCATTTGAGGGAAATGATTCTAGAAGCTGAAATAGACCAGAGTTCAACAGTCTGGGAAATTTGAAGAAGAAAAAAGAGAGAAAAAAAAAAACATCCAAGTCCTGCATTTGCAGAGATGTGAAGAGAACCCAGCTTTCTGAAGTTGGAAGGAAGTGAGAAGACCCTATTTGTGGCTGCAGGAGAGGAAAAGAAAAGGGACCCGTAAGGAAACTACCAACAGATGGTAAATACATTTTTAATTCTTCTGTCATACTGTGTGGACTTGTGCACATTTGTCCTGCTGTGTTAGGCTCCCGAAATAGCTAGCCATGGAATTGCAGAACAGTTCTGCTGCAATCTGAGATTTAGGAAACCATGCTAGCTGACAAAACAGGAAAGGCTCATAGTAGGGTGGAGTGGGTTTGCTCCCAGTTTGCAGCTCCTCCATGTGGCATCTGCTGTCCTTAGTGCAGGAAAATTCTCTCACATGCCAGGTCTCATTGGTGATGTTTTGAAACATACTATCTCAAATTGCCCTCTGAGCCCTGGTTAAAATTATTAAATGTTGGCCGGACATGGTGGCTCACACCTTTAATTCCAGCACTTTGGGAGGCTGAGGAGGGCGGATCACCTGAGGTCAGGAGTTCGAGACCAGCCTGCCCAACATGGCAAAACCCCATCTCTACTAAAAAAAAAAAAAATACAAAAATTAGCCAGGCATGGTGGTGGGTGCCTGTAATCCCAGCTACTCAGGAGGCTGAGGCAGGAGGATCACTTGAACCTGGGAGGCGGAGGTTGCAGTGAGCTGAGATCGCGCCACTGCACTCCAGCCTGGGAAATAGAGCAAGACTCTGTCTCGAAAAAAAAAAATTATTAAATGTTAACACTATGCATATGATAACTCTCAAAGGTTAAAGAGAGGCCTCCCTGAGTCCTCCAGGGAATATCACAGACACACGTGGCAGCCCAGAGCTCTTCACCGTGTCTTCCTCATACTTTCAGTTGTGAAATAATATTCCCATAGAATGTAATGGGAATTCCAGTGCCAGAAAATGGGTTGTTCTACAAGAACCTAAGGAGGTAGGACATGAAAGCACATTCAGTTGACTCCACATCTGAGAAGTGACCAGTGATTGGTACCAGGAATGAGTTAGGTTCCCAAACCCGACATCATCTCTCAGTGCATCTGCAAAAAACAAAAACAAAAAACAAAAAACAAAAAAAAGTATTGATGAATCCAACTGGATGCAGAAAAATGAGGAGAGGGTCGCCTATTACTTAATTACAGTGTAAAAAATATAGCTATGAAATACCATTTCATTAGAATGGGAAGGATCCTTAAAGAATCTAGTTCAATTTTTTTTTCATTTTATAGACAGGAATCTGGGCCAAAGAGTTGCAGGAAATTGGCAAAGATCATACAACTAGTTCACAGCAAATTCAGCACTGGAACCTAAGACATCACCCTCCTAGTCCTGTGTTTGCTCTCTTCTATCCCTCATTGAAGGTGGACACTGCTGAGATGAGCAAAACCCAATTCTAGGAGACTTCGATCATGGCAGTCCTCATGCTTGGGTTCTTATAAAGCAAGATGATGGCATTTCTATCTGGTCTGTAGATGTTTGGGAAACTGGTTGATATTCTTTACAAGTAAGGTTTCAAGCTAAAATAGATTTGTTAATTTCTGTCCTAAACCCCTGTGGGTTGTCTAGATTATATAGCTACCACACTATTTGGCACAGCGGGATCCTCTTTTCATGAAATAGCAGGGAAGATTGGTGGATAAGGATTAACAGCATTGGCAGAGGAGACTGGGAGACTTACACAATTACTTCCACCCAGTGCCTTCCTGGTCTAAGAACTTCTCCCAGCCTCTTTTGGAGAGAGAGGCAAGTGGGAGGAAAGGAGATTTTTATCTTTTTAGTAAATGAAAAGACAACAAAAACACCTTAGTACTGCTCAATTGGATGAAATCTTGATTTCACATGGTTTAAGTTTCTATAAGACTAAATATATTCTTTGTTCAAAATTACTTATATATTCATAGATAACTTTTCCAGTGGATACATATGGAGTTCATTAATAAAAACTCTTCTCAATCAGCTGTTTTGTAAGAGTGTTCTTTCCTGTTTTCTAGAAAGTTAATCAGTAAGCTCTTCAGTAGCTAGTTTGGCAGTAAGATCTCTTAAATTTTGCAATTCTAGTCAGCATTTTGCTTTGTTGTTTTGCAAAATATTTCAGCAATATTTTATGATACTTCTGTTATTGTTGTTTTTGAGACAGTGTCTTATTCTGTCACCCAGGCTGGAGTGCAGGGGCATGATCATGGCTCACTACAGCCTCAAACTCCTGGACTCAAGCAAGCTTCCTGCCTCAGCCTCTGAAGTAGCTGGGACTACAGACGTGCACCACCACACCTCGCTAATTTTTTTTTTCTTTTTTGTAGAGATGGGAGTGTCATTATTGTTACCCAGGCTGGTCTGGAACTCTTGGGCTCAAGCAATCCTCCTGCCTTGGCTTCCCTAAGTGTTGGGATTACAGGCGTGAGCCATTGCACCTGGCCTTATTTTTGTGGTGGCAAAAGGGTTCTACGTGTTAGATATATATATGGAAATTTTTGTTTTGAGAATTAATTTTATCATTTTGAATGTTCTTAGAAATTTACTGTTTATCTCCATGGTCTAGTAATGGATTTGGAGGTGGAGGAGGGTAAGAATTATCTTAAGTGAATTATTTTCAGTAGAGCAGTAATGAAGGCACACTTTAGGTTATTTCATTCTTATGATCCAAATTTGATTATCTAGCTAAGATCACTGGGGACATTTGAAGCTTTAATAATTACAGCTCAAGGCCTCAGGAAAAAAAAGAAAAAAGAAAAAAAATTACGTTTACTACACATTCACACAGTCTTTCAGAGAGTTACCAAATGAGGGCCTGCTTGGCTGATTTAAAAAATAGATTGATATCAAGATTCCATTTTAAGAGTTCAAGGTCTGTTGACATAAAAACAAAAGTTAGATTTAAACCATTGCTTTGTATAGAACGGTTAAACATTGCTTATTTGAGAGAGTAAAAAATGTAAGCTATTGATTTTACCTTTCTTTTTGCAGGAGAGCTTTAGGATTTTTCCCCTAGAAAGTTCTGAGGCCACGATTTTTGCTACAAGTACCCTGTTCCCTTACGTGCCAGCATAGCTTGGAAGCTGCCTCTGCTTCTAGGTCAAAGGCTCTCTCTCTCCCTATTGCCAGATGCCAGTTTCATGCTTAGACTCCCATGATCCTCAGAAATAAATCAACTTTTCAGTAAAATCCAGTGACAGCTCTGTTTTACATAAAAGCATGCAGCCTGAGGATATAATACAGTTTTGCGTTTTAGGTGGACAAGAAAAGAAAGAAAGCATCCACATTTCTGAGAGACAGTTTCAAGTGAAGTAGCCATCACGAAAGCCAGAGGGTGGCTTGCAGTATCGTACCCACTCTTCCTGCAGCCGGTCCAGCCCCCGCACATAGTACTCACACAGCAGAAACCACTGAAGTACAAATCGTTCTACAGTGTTCTCATCCTTCTGTAGCACTGGTCAGTAACATCCATGAATTGAAGAAGTGTTGAGCAGGTCAGCTTCCCGAGGCCAAAACTTCCTCCTTGTGGTAAGAAAAGAAACACATGAACAAATTCCCCTCCATACAGCAACACAAAGGAACCTCACATTGTTGGAAAATACAAAAGAGACAAGACATAAAAGAATGCTTGCTCTACTGTTCCATTTGTACAAAGTTCAAAACTATGAAAAACTGGTCAGTTGTGTTACACTAATTATAATTGTTTACCTTTGATGAGGAGAGAGGATTAAAATTAAAATGGGATATGATGGTGGCTTCTAGGGTGCTAGAAAGTTCTGTCTTAACCTGGGTGGTGGTCACAGAGGTGTGTTCACTTTGTGATAATGCATTTAGAATAATGTTATTCTAAAATATTAGAATAGGGCCAGGCATAGTGGCTAATGCCCGTAATCCCAGCACTTTGGGAGGCTGAGACAAATGGATCACTTGAGGTCAGGAGTTCAAGACCAGCCTGGCCAACATGGCAAAACCCTGTCTGTACTAAAAATGCAAAAATTAGTAGGCATGGTAGCAGGTGCCTGTAATCCCAGCTACTCAAGAGGCTGAGGCAGGAGTATTGCTTGAACCCGGGAGGTGGAGGTTGCGGAGAGCCAAGATGGCACCATGGCACTCCAGCCTGGGCAACAGAGCAAGACTCCATGTCAAAAAAATATAGCATTTTGGCCGGGCGCAGTGGCTCATGCCTGTAATCCCAGCACTTTTGGAGGCCGAGGTGGGCAGATCACGAGGTCAAGAGACGGAGACCATCCTGGCCCACATAGTGAAACCCTGTCTCTACTAAAATACAAAAAAATTAGCTGGGCGTGGTGGCACATGACTGTAGTCCCGGCTCCGTGGGAGGCTGAGACAGGAAAACCGTTTGAACCCAGGAGGCAGAGGTCGCAGTAAGCTGAGCCAAAAAAAAAAAAAAAAAGAAGACAAGTTCAGGAAAAAAGACACAAAACCATTTAAAAAAAAATTAAATGGTGAAGGCAAAAAAAACATGCTTCCATATACAGTACTTAAAGTTCAAAAAGTAGAAAAAGTACAGTATTTAGCACTGTACAGTGGTGAAACAATAAAACAAAGCAAGGTCTTGCTGTTGCCCAGGCTGGAGTGCAACGGTGTAATCATGGCTCCCTGCAGCCTCAGCTTCTTGTGCACAACTGACCCTCATGCCTCTGCGTCCCAAGTAACTGGGACTATAGGTACATGTCACCATGCCCAGCTAATTTTTAATTTTTTGTACAGACAGAGGTCTTGCTATGTTACTCAGTCTGGTCTCTAGCTCCGGGGCCCAAGCAGTTCTCCTGCCTCGATGTCTCAAAGTGTTGGGATTACAGGCATCCGCCGCCATGCCCAGCTCTGTTCTATTTCTTGACTTGAGTCATGGTTATGTGAATGTTTATTTTATAAAAATTTATTAAGTTGTACTTTTCTGTATCATGTACGTTCCTGAATGTATGTTATATTTCACAGTAAAAAGGGTATTAAAAAACTCACATGAAACCCAATTATTTAGATATAGTTATAAATTGAACACCTTGATGTATGTATACTCCCAGAACATCTTTAATGCAATATACTCTGGCCACATTACTTTGTAGCCTTTTTTTTTAATTAATGATATGCCCTCTCAAAAGAATTCCTCTTTAGATTTTTTCCATTTCCACTTAATTTTAACTAAAAGTAAATAATCATACAAGCTTTATACCCCTCTGGAAGCCTAAAGCCATAGAGTGGCTTTCAGGAAATTAGGTTGCTTTAGCCTAAGCTACATTGATTCATAAACCAATCTACAGGATTTTGCCATAGCTCATGGGAGACTTTTCTTTCTCTGTTAATAATGCTGCTGCTTCAACAGAGGAAAGCCTCTTTCTACCTCTTCAGAGTGCTAGCTCTGCAAAAGGACAGGCCAAGCAATGAGGGGAAAGGCCAGCATAGGGGAGTGGGGGGGTGGGGGTTGCTTGGGGCAGGGAAGGGAGATCATCTTACAACTGTTTGCAATGTCTGCCATGCTGAGCTCGTGCCGAGGCTGCCCTAGACAACAAAAGGAAGCAGATTTTCGAAGTGATCTAGGGACTAAATTTTTAAAAAGTAGTTTCATTGCTTTTTCTAGCCCCTGGGATGGGGCCAGTGTGTTTCTCTCTGCCTGGAACATACTCCCCTTTCCCTTTTTCCAATCTCCAAGCACATTCCCTGTTCTCCTTCACTGTTTTCATCATCATAGCCATTCACAGTCAAAGAACCTGGCAATGAGCATCCGAGCCCGATGGGGACCACGCAAGAACCTCATGGCACCCTGTACTTACCCCGCCACAGCATTCATCAGGATTTACTATTTTCTTGTCTACAAAATACTCCACCAATCTGTAAACTCCATGCACACAAGGTCAGTCTGTTTCACTGTTGTCATGCCAAGCACCAGGATATATTGGGCCTCTATAATATATTCCTTGGATGCATGAAAATCAGTGTGAAGTGTGAAGTGAGATGGGATCTGGGGTGGGGGAAGGATTTGCTTTATATTTATTTGTTTGTTTATTTTAGAGACAGGATCTAGTTCTGTTGCCCAGGCTGGAGTGCGGTGGTGTGATCATAACTCACTATAGCCTGCAACTGCTGGGCTCTAGTGGTCCCCCTGCCTCAGCTGTAGCTAAGATTACAGGTGCACACACCCATACCTGGCTACTTTTCTTTCCTTTTTCCTTTCCTTTCCTTTCTTTTTTCTTCCTTCTCTCCTGCCTTCCTTCTTTCCTTCCTTCCTTCCTTTCTTCCTTTCCTTCCTTCCTTTCTTTCTTTTCTTTCTTTCTTTCTCTTTCTTTTTGATGGAGTCTTTCTCTGTCACCCAGGCTGGAGTGCAATGGCATGATCTCGGCTCACTGCAACCTCCACTTCCCAGGTTCAAGCAGTTCTCCTACCTCAGCCTCCCAAATAGCTGGGATTACAGGTGCACGGTGCCACACCCAGCTAATTGTTTGGTATTTTTAGTAGAAACGGTTTCATCATGTTTGCCAAGCTGGTTTTGAACTCCTGACCTCAAGTGATCCACCCGCCTCAGCCTCCCAAAGTGTTGGGATTACAGACGTGAGCCACTGCACCCGGCCACCTGGCTAATCCTCTAAAGTGGGTCTTGCTATGTTGCCCAGGCTGGTTTTAAATTCCTGGCCTCAAGCAGTCCTCCTGCCTTGGCATCCCAAAGCGCTGGGATTACAGGCATGAGCCACCGCACCTGGCCAGGGAGGGATTTAAACTACGCTTCCCCTGACCCTTCATCTGTACAGCACAAACGGCCTCAGGTTGTCCAATCTGAAGAAATGTGCTAACACAGGACGGCACCAAATTAAAACATCGACAACTGTTCAGTTTCAAATACCTACTGGTAACAGCAGTTTGCATTTGTATACTGTTTGATATTAAACAGTTTCACAGATTATACAATTTTGGCAACAAAGCCTCTGAGGCAAACTGGGACGATGTTAATACCACCATTTTGCAGATTA